TGATACATGTATATTATTAAAAAAATATGTGTTTCTTTAACTGACAATTAACGCTAAGCAAAGCTTTGTCTCAGCTGCAAAAGACCATAGGATCAAGAACATTATGTATCCTTCAAAACTTTAAATTACTATTGAAAATATTTGTTATGATGTTTATGCAAATAAGGTTATCAATAAATTCATTAAGATTTCCTAAAAATACATTAACACAAAATGTCACATGTAAGTCTCAATTAAACTGAGCATGCACTGTTTCCAATTTTTGCTGTTTGGTATGTTCTTTGATTGAACTATAAATGAGTGATTCTTGGGCAGTTTTCTATAAAAATGCCCAACTGGTTCCTGTCTGCTGAACAAACTGGCTGCCTAAAATAAAATAATAATAATAATAATAATAAACATACACAACCTTTCCTCCTTAACCATTATGCTGACTTGTATGTAACTATACATACATGGTCGTTTCATTGTTACAAATTGCTGAAAGAGTTCCGGTCTGTAGATCAATATTTCCCCAAGAGTTAAAATAGAAAACCTTTAAAAATTATATTTACCATTTAAAAGAAGTGTAAGTATACTTTGAAAGGTAGAGTCCATTACGTTATAATAATACGAAATTTGTCATCTCAATACATTTAGTCCTTATATAACCAATCCCTGCACACTAAAATTTGAAAAATGACGTTTCTACCAATGTCTATGTAATGCAATCTTATTTATTTAAACCAATAATTCAAGTGAGCGATTAAGGGCCATTATGGCAATTTGTATGGTAAATGATAAAAAGATTGTGAGTTAAAAATTACCCTCATTATACTGAAGTTCATGTTATTGCGCAAATTGAAAAAAAACATAATTATTTATTACTATAAACATGTATTATTCATTAATTAAGAGCAATTGATTGACATTCAAAATGCTGCAAGAAAGATTAAAAAAGAAAAAAAAATGGTGATTATTTTCTTGAAGTAGAAGTTTACAATTTGAAAAGGTGCAATTTGCAAAGCATCAAAATTTCACAATATGAAGTAATACGAAGTTAATTAGAGACAGATGTTTGGTCGCATTTTTGTTATCATTTAGTTACCACTTACATGTATGTATATATATTTTTTGTAACCAAGTTAGACTTATGAATCCATCACAATAAAATACAAACTTAACAGGTATTCAAACTCAACCAGACCATAATTCAAAACCCTTAGACATTTAATTGAATGTGCATGTTTTGTGACTATGATTCAAGACTTGTATCGAATATTTTTTACATAAGGAAATGCATGCGTTTCTCCTTTTTCTCTCTAATTCATATCAATATCTAAACCAACTTAAACATATAGCGTTGAACGTTTATAGAACACACTCATTCAAACCGAGCCTGCAATTTTCATATACTCGTATTTAGCATGTTTTGATTGTATTTTATTGATCTCCTTTTCCTTATTTCTTTAATTATTTATAGCGAAATGACTAATTTATTTATTGTCATTTATTATTCTACATGTGTGAATTCAAAGAATGACTTTAAACACAATTTAAATGAAACTGTTATATAAAATAGGAGAAACTGTTATAATATAGAAAAGCTGTAACTGAATAGAATCAATTTGTTTAATGTTGTTTTTATTTGTTTGGGTCGTCAGACCAAACAAATAATTGTAGCGAAATTTCAGACCCTGATGTTCTTATTTGCAAATGCCGAAAGAAGTCAAACTCCTCGAAGCGGTTACTTCCCTTCATATGTACATTAACGTCGAAAAATTAAGGGGAGATCACTGCGTTAAGATTGTCAAATAACAGTCGCATTAATTTTCGTAACGAAAAAAATAGTTCCCGATTGGTCGAAGATTTCTAATATTGTGTTATTCTTATAGATATACATGCTTACATTCAACTCCATGAATATCTACTTCAGTGTTTAACAACAGGTTAACCGTGAACAAAATATATCGAAATAAATAAGGGTTACAAACTCTAATTAAGAATAATATGGTATTTTTCAGGCTGTTATATTATAGCTCTCACTTGTTTTAGAAGCGAGAGGTCCGGACTTCGGATCCCAGTTCAGGCAAATGTTTTTTGTGTTTTTTTGTGTTTTTTTCTTTTTTAATTGATAAAGCCAAATAAACATTGAATTGAATATCAATGTTGCAATAAGACTTATAGCCAATTTACTTTAGTTATAACACTGGAAATAAAATTTGGTGACACTTTAGAAACAAATATTGGTTTATAATATCACAACCTTCACCTTTCTGACATTCTGAGACCCAAACAAATTCAGCGCCTTCTGTGCTTTGATTTATGTTCTTTGCTTTGTCTTGTTGTTCATTTTTCTATTTCTTCTGACAGGTTATAATAAACCTGATATATGAGATTTTTAAAAAGCGAGATTTTACACAATGTCATAATTACTGATCCGTTTGTGTCTGAAAACGAAAGAAGGCATCATTGTAAAATGAGAGTATTTTTGGAAGTTGAAATCGAACGTCAACTGTTTAGAGTTTTGATTCACTGCGGTGTCCTGTTAGTGCCGTCGCGACACACACAACTCTCGAAGCAACGTAAATATAAAAATACGATCATGGTGACAAGTCATTATAAAGAAACAAGTGTTTGAAAGTTGAAGATACGATGGTGATTAATCGAAATAACGAATCACGATGGTGAAAACATAGCTACGTCATACATCATCGTACGATCGACTTTTTTACAATCATGGTTCCGTTATTTTAAGTTATTTGTGTCGCAATGGCCCGAACTGGAAACCGTATTTAGTTTGTGTTCTATTATGTTCTTTGCAAATATATTAATGATTTTTTTTTATTTGTTTACATCAATTCCAGTATAAAACCGAGGTTATTCTTTAAAAAAATGATGTGTGTTTAACGGTCTTACTAAATGCACAGTTACACACAATTTAGTGTAGGAAGCAGTCGGGATGAAAGTTAAGACAGTTATTAATATATGATACATCGTAAATTTGTTGCCTATTAAAGTCTTTAAAATAGAGGCTCTGTTTAAATGTTTATTATATACGGAAGAGCATTAGTGTCAGGTGTATGTTTTTATTAACTTGAAAGTTCGAGTTACTTCCTCGCAAGTTCGAGTTACATATCTCGACATTTCGACTTACTAACTCAAACTTTCGAGTAACTAACTTAATATTTCAACTTTGTACACCAACTTTTGACTTATGTACTCGAAATTTAGACTTGTTAACCCGAAATTAACGGTCCCATGTTGATATTCAGAATGATATATATGTATCATGGTAATGTCTTTATCAATATTTTACTGATAAGGTGCTAAAGATACTGTTACAATTTTAATTTCCTTCCCCCCAGTCTGTATTTAAAAGTTTGTCAGTTTCGTCAACAACTTTTAGTCCTATAATATGCTTTAAATCAATATGTTTTTATATATTCGGTTAACCGACCTGCTTACACGTATTTTTTGAAATTTTGATGAACTTGCACCAGTAGTTTATAAGGAGTAGTCCAAGTTTTGTGACGGAAGGGCAGATAAACAGACAGACAAACAAACAGACGACGGAGAAGGGATCCTATATGTCGCCACTACTCCGTAGTTTGAAGTTCCATAAGCACTCTAGATGTCAACCAAAATGGCAATCACATTCCAGTGCAGGTGAAATCTTATGCAAGAAAATTTTAATTTAATAGCTTTTAAGTAGTACATACATGTTTTTTTCAGATTTATTAAAAACAAAGAAGGCTAAAGAAGTGTTTTTTCGCAATCAAAAAGCTCTTACAATTCATAGATAGAATTTTTATTTATGACACGAAAATACCCAAACAAAATTATCTTTCGCCTAAATATGTAACAGATTTCTTTCAAAATTTTGAAAATTCTGATTCAGCATTGTTTTGAGATAATCCCCTGACAAGAATTCGTGTTGACTTATCCGTCTTAAACAGTCTAGGTAGTCATTGAAAACATACACCACAATATTTGCATGTTTTTGATGGGGTGTACAATCACATGCCTTTTGTTATCCGGCGACATTACCGGTTTATTGTAATCCAGTGGCTTACATTTACTTAAATCCGTCACTTCGATGTGGCGAATGCGAACATAAAGCGGCATTTGAGAAAAGCAGGGTTATGGAGGGATTAAGGGATGATGGAGCGGGGGTCACCTTCCGCCAGATTGATGCGGCGCTTGGTGTACACGGCACTGGCATCACCAGAGTCTTGTATAGATACCGGCTATATGGTACACCCGCAAAAAGGCATGCTGGAGGTCGGCAAACTGTCACAGCACCAGTTCAGGATCGGTTATTGGCGTCCAGGCACGTTGTGCAAGGTTTGCGACGGTACGTAGAAGGCTATAATTTGCTGTTGCGTATTGTTTATTTGTTATTCTGTTGTTTTTACCTTGTTATTTTTGCATTTATCTGCCTGAAAGGAGCTCTTTTGTTTACTAATGATATTTATTAACATTATATTGTGGTTTATTTGTGACACTGTTTAGCGTCGCGTTGTCGCTGGCGACAAAATGACAAAGCGCCTTGTCAATTTGTCGTCCTTGTTGCATTGTCGCTCGACTAAAATTGAAGGATTATCGTTTTCACACGACAAGGCGATAATGCACCGTTTTGCGCTTTGTCGTGATGTCGCGTTCGGTAGCACATGCACAGATAATACAGACAGTGCAAAATGGAAGGTAAATAAGTGATATGTATGTTGTTTACAGTTGCTGGTTTTTCCTTTGAAATAATAACATTATCACATTAATTTCAAAACAGTCCAGACATTTCAACACAAATCTTTATTGATATTACACACATCAACAGTCATCCATTAACGAGATAATAAACGTAGTTAAACATTTAATCCTGAATTGAAATATTGATGTGCACGCAGTTAATACGAACCATTTAGTAATAAATATGAATGAAATCTCACTTAATTCCCGTAATATATATTTTGATGTAATGACACATCGCTATCTGAGCGATTCTTATCAAACGTTTTACAATTTACTATGGTTTTATTTGATGCCAGTATAATTATCATTTATACGTTTGAGATGTTCCCTTGAAAGCAAATCAGGAAGTGTGTACATGTATGACATGCAATATTTGGTAATGATATGATTAAATATAAAGTATAAAATATTTCTTTTCAATATGGACTTACATTTAAATTGCTGTTTAACGGTTGTGATTTACATGACAATATCTGGTCAAGGTAATATGATCACTTTATCTTAATCGTTAATCTCAAAAGAATTTTATAGATTGCCAGTAAAGTAAATTTCGGAAAAATATCTTTTGCGCAAATGTCAATGTGGCGACTGACTGGTACCACTTCATTGTCCAGATTTCGTTTATGTTGGCTGTGTAATGTTATTCTATTTTTATATGCCCGAAAGAATTTCGGGCATATTATGTTATACCCCCTGGCGTCCGTCCGTCTGTCCGTCCGTCTGTCCGGACAAACGAGAGGATACTTGTTGGGTACCTCCAACACACGAGAGGACACTTGTTGGGTAATTCTATTCATTCCGTCAGTATTGTTGGGTACATATGTTCTCTTGTTGGGTACCTTTAAACAAAAGAAGTACCCAATAAATGACCATTCGTAGGAACGTCCGTCTGTCCGTCCGTCCGTTAGCAATTTGGTTTCCGGAGCATAATTTAGTTCCATTTGGCCCACAGTATTCAAACTTCATAGGATGATTGTCCATATTAGGTAGAAGACCCCTATTGATTTTTGGGGTCACAAGGTCAAAGGTCAAGGTCACTATGACCTTAAAATTAAAAAAAAACTTTCCGGAGCATAACTTCAGTTTCATTTGGCCCACAGTGTTCAAACTTCATAGGATGATTGTCCATATTGGATAGAAGACCCCTATTGATTTTTGGGTCACAAGGTCAAAGGTCAAGGTAACTATGACCTTAAAACTGAAAACAGTTTCCAGAGCATAACTTAATTTCCATTTGGCCCGCAGTGTTCAAACTTCATAGGATGATTGTCCATATTGGGTAGAAGACCCCTATTGATTTTGGGGTCACAAGGTCAAAGGTCAAGGTCACTATTCCCTTTAAACTGAAAACAGTTTCGGAGCATAACTTAAGTTCCATGTTGCCAACATTGTTCAAACTTCATAGGATGATTTTCCATATTGGATAGAAGACCCCTATTGATTTTGCGGTCACAAGGTCAAAAGTCATTGTCACTTTTACCTTAGAACTGAAAACAGTTTCCGGAGGATTACTTAAGTTTCATTTTGGCCCACAGTGTTTCAACTTCATAGGATGAGTGTCCATATTGCGTAAAAGACCCCTATTGATTATGGGGTCACAAGGTCAAAGGTCAAGGTCACTATGACCTTAAAACAGTTTCCGGAGCATAACTCAAGTTCCATTTGGCCCACAGTGCTCAAACTTCATAGGATGATTGTCCATATTGGGTTGAAGAACCCTATTGATTTTGGAGTCACAAGGTCAAAGGTCAAGGTCACTATTACTTAGACATTGAAAACAGTTCCTTAAGCATAACTTAAGTTCAATTTGGCCCACAATATTCAAACTTCATAGGATGATTGTCCATTTAAGATAGAAGACTCCTATTGAATTTTGGGTCACAAGGTTAAAGGTCAAGGTCACTATTATCTTAAAACTGAAATCAGTTGTCGGAACATAACTTTTGTTTCATTTGGCCCACTGTGTTCAAACTTCATAGTATGATTGTCCATATTTGGTAGAAGACACCTATTGATTTCGGGGTGACAAGGTCAAAGGTCAAGGTAACTATTACCTTAGAACTGAAAACAGTTTCCGGGGCATAACTTAAGTTCCATTTGGACCACAATATTGAAACTTCAAAGGAGGATTGTTTTGTGAAGGAGGTAATACTTTATTTAATTCCTATGTCTTACAAATGCTTCATCTTTACTAAAAAAATCTCTTTCGGGCATATAATGCTCCGCCTAGCGGTGCTCTTGTTTAAATTTGAATTTCTCAAATATAGTCTTTTGAGTATGCTATACATTTCAATGCATACATTAAATTTGTTTATCGCAAAATCCTGATAATTTTGGTTAAAATGTTGCAATTGTTGAAATGGTATCAATTTTCTTCTATCAAGTATTTGCATAGACTGCATTTTGAACTCTTGCATCTTATTATGCGATTCTTACTCAAGGATAAGGAAAATCGCAATCTGGTCAGGAGTTTTTTTCCGAAACTAAATTCAACGCCAATGTGTATTATACAAAAACCATAAAAATCAAAACGTTGATGAAAGAAATTGTATGAATATAAGTGTTAAACTATAATTGAAATCAAAATAACAACTTTCTATTCAATATTATATCTAATTTAAACTTGTAATTACATTACGGTACCACTTTTGCGACTCAGTAAAATGGTATTGCATGTATGAGAAATTTAAATAAATTAAATTATGATATTTATGCATAAAATAAAAATAATTTCTTTTCGTTTAGTGCGTAAGATGTAATTCTATTTCATCATTTTCAGCGTTAACGACTGAATTAAAGATATTGGTGTTCGGATTAATTTTCTTAGTTAGACCATTTTCTTTCATTCTAGTTAGTTTTCACAACAAAATTCGACAAAAAATGTTTTTTATTTATCAGATTTTTCAAACAAAATTGCGCCCTCAATATGGAAATACACAGGGAGATAATAAGAACGGCGAGTGCATTGTTGCAGAATAATGCACGCTTCGGGCCTTCTTTGTTTTTATAGAAAAATTTTCGATAGTATTAGAATGTATAACAAATGACGACTTTGAATTTTTCTTATTAACTCTTTTTACCAATTGATATTCTTAATAAGGCAGTTTCTTTATCTTTGACTTCTTAAACGCAATCCCCCGTGAGTTGCACTAGCTATGGTTCGGTGATAAGAGCTCATACAAACAAAATATCATATTCTTTTGTCTGACAGAAACACCGACTCTTTCCGGCTGGAAATAGATAGAGCAGTAAATAGCTGACAAAATCTTTAAATAAAACTCTTTGGAAAGCGATTGCTACTTTTTAAGTACATTTGTTGTATATAAGTTTTGTCTTTTGGCAGAACATTATACATTATGACAAAATATGTTATCGAAAAATCCTGTAGACTCCGGCAAGATTGGTAGTTGGGATAAACATTGTATGAGAATGCTTAGTCAGAAACATGGTCATTCGGCGACACAAATACAAATCATGTACACATTATATTAAGTCGTCATTTAGGTATCAAGTACAGATATACAGGTGTGTTTATATTCTCATGTTAGGCATCGCCTGGTGCCAAATATATCCTTATTGACGGCATTTAGTAAACATACTTTTATAACATCTATTCCATCTTTTTTTCCCCCGAAATCTGTCACGTAACTTAAGTATAAAAAGCAAATTAACATGGGTAACTATTCTAGCATATCTAACTTACACTCTCAATATTATATCTCAAGTGATTTAAATATTTTTTTGCCTGATAATTATCCAACACAAAGAACATTTCATTTTTAAAAAGAAATATTTGTACATTTATTTAATAAAATGTTTTCATAAATGAAATAATGAATTCCTCGTGTCTGCATAGACTTGTGGCTGAAAGAGTGACCCTCGATTGTCTCGTGAAGGCCCAGTATGCCCCAGGAATGCGTTTATTTTTATTTGTGAAAATCATTTTAATTTTGTGTTACTTTCATATTATCCTAAACAACTTACCTGAACCATCTTATTATTTTTTTTGCGTTTTGGCAGTAAATACAGTTATGGTGAATTGGTATATTGTTGAAGTCAAAATACTACCTTGTATCCATGTGCAGCTTTTACTACAAATACTATCGCATTTTACGCCTTTTTCAGGTAACAAACATTTCACATTCTCCAAAAAACATAATTTAAACATTATGGAATACATGTTTGCCTTTTCAAGACAACTAAAATTATTTCTTTCTGAGACATACTTATGTTTTTATTACACATTATTTTGTAAAGATTTAGGTTATTGTAATTTTAATACAAAATTGGTATTTTCCTCATTGTTTAAACAAGAAACAAGATCGGGATTCAGCACTGATTGATAAAAGCCCTTGCCTGAGAGAGAAAAATGCTGCTTGTGGCCCGCGGGTTTGATATTGTTTTCTAATATTGTGTACCGCTATACTTATGTCACTGCCATTGATTTGCGAAAGTTTCAAATCAAAATTTGTTTGCGTCGAAAACTGTAAAGACGTACGCAATGTATAGCTCCTCTTTAAATATCCGCTTATCTAATTTTACAGTTTTATATACAACAAACCTGCCTTGAAACATAGTTTTCACGGGTGCGAATCAAGATGTACTCCCGATATTATTATATTGAAAATTAGTGCAATATAGACTGGCGTTATTTATATGTTGTGCATGCATTTATATTAACATCAATATAAATTATATGTCAAGCTAAAATTTAATCAAAGTGGTAGAATATCACGGCCTTGTATGGATTGTTTCTAAATTCTCATTTTAAGTGTGTTCTTGCGTTTCAAGAAAACGTTTATAGTTTAGATATTATGTATTCGTCTGTACGTTATGTTTGTTAAAGCATCCGTTCAACGTTGGTGTATTAAACTTGTTATGTTGTTGTGTGTGTGCGTTTAATTAATTTTTTTTAACGATTCTGTGTTTTCTATGTAAACCGAAACGCCACTTATCTTTAATATCTCTTAAACAACTAAATGTAAAAAAGTCGACAAATACGTACCAGATAATACGTACGAATTCCGTCTGATCATTAAGCAAATGTCACACGTTCATTCGACTGCTACGATAAACGTTTGTTTTTAACGACTCATTTGCATATCAGTAACCTGTTATGACATTTTATTTGTTTTTAATGACCTTCATAACCAAAAAAAAAAAAAAAATGCAATGTGTTGTTATCAAGAAATCGAACTCAAAATGGACGGTATCATATTGTGATTTACAATTTGGGATCAATATGAAACCGAAATTACATTTGTGATAATAAATAATGATATAGAATTTAACTGATAGATACATTTGCATAACATGTCAAAAGTAGTCTTTGTGGCCGAGTGTTTCACCGACTACAAATCGCCTGCCCCTCATCGCTGTGGGGTCGAAAACTATCATGAACATTTAAGTATTTCATGTAAGGAAGCTAGTCATCAACTAACCCACGCACATTCAGCGGTTCTATTGAGGTCTTTATAAACTAGTAAGGCTAAGAGTTTCGGTTTATCTTTACGGCTTTACTACACAGTGTAGGCATGACACAAACTAAAAAAAAACAACAACAAAAGAGCAACATCCGACAACAGAAAAAAACAACAAAAAACAAACAACAACAACAGCAACAACATCTACAAATAATGATAGACATTTCATGTCAGCCAAAATTGAATTTTTTATTTGTTATTCGCAAATGTTTGTGGAGATGTATGATGTGTTTACGAAGTCAATATGAAGCAAACAGTCAATATTTATTATGAGCATTTGCGTTTAATTATTATATAAACAGATGTCCGCTTTTTAGCTTCAATCTCCGTGTACTATATGTTTTGTTATGCATATTTTTGTAACATAAAGATTATTAAGAAAATTACAATACATTTGAAAAGTTAGTGTTAAATGATACCATAGTTTATTGTCCATGATTTAGGATACGTGTCGACTGATATCATGATAACTCCAAAATATATTGATGGTACTGAGGGAAGCAACGTTTCCTTCAAATGTGTACACAATGGAACAGGGTTAAGAATGGCATGGCGACGAGATGATGATAGTATTATTTGCATGTTTGCAACACATGAGTCATGTAGTGTTCTCATTATAACACAAGAGGAAATCGCTTGCACTTGTGAAAAAGGTTATCAGAACAAAACAATTATTTCTTTACCAATACCAACTATTTCAAGAGCCGATCACACTACTTCCTGGTTTTGTACAGTTACATTTATGACAGAAATCGTCAAGCAACATGCATCTTTATTCGTCAAAGGTACTTATATTATAAAATATCTTATTCTCGAATAATTATTTATGGACTTATTGGTTTTTTTCCTAATGGAAATAAATGGAATATAACCTGACAATCAGAATGTTAACTGGAAATGCTATTTATATTTTATTTTAGTTTTCGACATGGCTTATAAACATAAAAGGCACTATTCACTACACAAATAAGAGTTTTTACTTACAATGTCTCATTTCAACTATTTATGTATAATGAGGTAAAACAAAACTAAAACTAAATTGCCTCATTATAATATTTATATGAATGCATTTTTAAATAAAAAAACCTACAACTTATCACTGTTTTCGATTCCTTTCAAAAATACTTATACTTTTAACGGACAATTTACAATAAACGAAGCTTTGGTTCAAATGCTTTTGGTCATAAGGTCGACCAAAACATGGACATATTTCAATATAGTTACACATTTCTATTTTAAGAGTAAGTTATAATAATCTTATGGTGTATCATTTAATTTAAGTTCCAGTTAAAGCATTGAATATCATGTCCATTGCGAAGTCCATACATATTTCTGGAAACAAAACCACAACGTTTACTTGCAACACTTCTTACAGCCGGCCGATACCTGAGATTCAATGGATGTTAAATGATCATAGTCATTTGCAATTATATGGAGAGCAAACAAATAAAACAAACACCAAGGGTTTGACTTCAGCGGAGAGTACACTTTATTACAAACCTAGCAGAACATACAACGGATGGACACTTTATTTGTTGTCATCAGGTCGGAAGTGCAAAAGGAAGAAATATTATCAAGTTTAATAACACTTAATGTCACATGTAAGTCTAACATATTCAATAAAACTAAGCATGCGATGTTATCTTTTTGCCGTTTTGGGCCTTCCTTGTGGATTCTATTTTTTTAAATCTATTTTACCTTCATATAGCCTGTTTTGTTTTTTCATCATCGCTCTACATTAAACTTAAACACTTTGATTTTCATTTCTGTATTTTGTTTTTTATTTGTTTTAATTTTTGTTTCAATCAATATTTTTGAGCCACTTTTTTATTAAAATTTTTAAAAGTTTTATTTTTTTTCAGATCCACCTGATTTAACACTAATGATTAATGGGTTTCCCTCAAATGGAATTTAAAATGTTATTGAAAATAGCACAGGTTCTTTAGCTTGCAAAATTACCGGAGGAAATCCAAAGCCATTTTTGACATGGACTAGATGTTTTGATAATGAAATTTATACTAGTTCTGGCAGCTCATCTACAACAGAAAGTAAGACAAAAACGTTGACTTGGCGGGCAATATCTGACACTGACAAATTATGTACTTGTCAGTCCATACAATAAGAAAGAAATGACTCTGTGTCTATTAATGTCAAAGTAATATGTAAGTTTGAACTTAACACTTGTTATTACAGAGTAGTTAAAATTTCAGCAATTATTAAAGAATTACATTAAGATGATAACATGTTCGTTGAAAATAATACGTGTTATTCATTTACAAATTTACAATATGTATGCGGATTGAATTAAGACGTATAAGCAAGGGTTTGAACATTGTATTTGCGGCTATTTATCAAATTTTATGATTTCTTATTCATTCCTATTTGCATCTTTTTATTAAATCGTTTGAGTATTAACAAACTTATTATTTATTGTTTGAAGATCCTCCTACTGTACCAATACTCAGGTATGACTTGCAAAATGTGTCTGGAAATATATATATCATACAAAACGAACAACTGTTGTTGGATTGTTATAGCAAAGTAAGCCCCCTCCAACTTATCAATGGGAAACAAAACACATGCCAGTGACTTTCAATAGAACACTGCAAATTCTGGAGACGGAAAAGATGTACCAAGGAAATTATACGTGTCTTGTTACTAATACAATGAACTCAACCGAGAGACTACATAACGGTTCTAGTAGAAGCACTGTTGGAGTCCATATTCTTTGTAAGTATTGTACTACTTTACTTCATCGAAATTTACTTATAAGACTCGCAACAAAATCTAAAATATATATTGTAGTTCCATGCTTTAATTAGTTCTCTAGAACTTTTGTAGAATGAAGGTCGCTGGTTTCAAAGCAATTGTTTCTTTCCGCTATGGGTTTAAATCCTTTCAGGGATGTTTGCTTTTATGTGAGGAAGCTACGTGTATCTGGCTAACAGAGCATCGGTTGTTCTACTTATGTACCCACTTGTGCCTGAAATATTCTAGGGAGAGTGCCTGAGTATTCCTTCTCCAGTTTAACTGAAAAAAAAATACTCAAGGGGTGGGGAAATAAAATCACGTGTACCGAAAAAATTGAATCGGTGACCCCCTATTGTTTTAGTTTTTTAGACTAAGTATACATTTTAAAGGACGTTTAAAGAAAAAAAAATAAAAATTTATTTCAGGAATTTTTAAATAAGCCGCTTTAAAGCCGAAAATTGCGGCTAAACTGAACGTCAAATTTCACACAAAATTGACAATTTTATTACCATTTTTCAAACAGTTTTCGGCGAAAAACGATAAATTTTATATCAGCTTAAAGGAAAAGATGATTATCGTCGAATGCTGTAGAATTTAAGATATTTTGTCCGCCATTGGCGTTGAAATACCCGGAACAGTTGCCAAGGATACGCAACGACGTCATTTTCAAAAACAGGCTTTGATGGTCAACTTTGACGCCATGGGTACAAAAATTGGCTGAAACTATTGAAATTAAATCAACGGAACCTAATTAGAAATATGGTCAACTTTTTGCATGTCAATTTTCAAGACGCTACTCGAAAGTTCGCAAAGTGTCGCGTTCTACCTTAAGACTATTACATGCAAGTATTTTTATCTGTAACTTCAAATACATAGTACGTGTGTACGAAAATAGATGATTGAAAAATAAAAATAAAACATCTGAACAAAACTATAGGTTGATTTGAAAATGAATAGAAGTTTGAAACGTTAATTTGTTTATCCGCTTTCAAACACGTTAGGAAACCTTACATAAAAGAAGATAAGCATTTTAAGATTTCAAACTTTATGTTATGGTTTTGTACCTCAGTGGAGCTCAGCCTTCAAAACAACTGGAATGAAATACCACCACCACAACAACAAAACAACCCCAACCCAAAACAACAAAAAATAAAACAATAATTATCACACCCCTATCCCCACAAAATAAATAAATAAATAAAACTAAACAAATCATAAGAAAATAAAAATAAAATGGAATGTCGCCATGATATGAATAATAAATTATTTTGTTAGACTTTTGAAACGTTTCTAGATCCGCCTACAATCAACACATTAGAAAACCTGACATTGGTAGAAGGAGATCATGTTCGGTTACTCATGGAAACCCAAAGGAAACGGTATTTTTATGGACATCTGAGAGGGACATGACTTGGTCAAGTCAATATTTAACAATACGTAACATTTCAAGGGATGACGACATGAATTACAACTGCAGTGTTTACAACATTATGACACCAACTGGAAAATCACCTGTTAAAGGAACAGATAGTAAAATGTGGCATCTATCTGTAGAATGTATGTACTATCTACTTTGCATGAACCATATATTTTCATAAACATGTAGGTTCTACATACTTATCAAACTTCTTTTCTTTCCGTTTAGTGATTGAAGAAAAATTCCCATGAAGTTTATTCATAACAAAATGATTCATTTTCAGACTCTGCGACAATAAAGGATTTTTACGTGAATGGATACAAATCTGAGCGTAATGTGACAGCAACTGAATATGACAACGTTACCTTTATTTGCGACATTGACAGTAAACCAATTTCGAATACGAGTCTACGATTTACGACGGACAAAACTTTGGTTTGGACTCATTCAAATATGCTGAGTTTTACCCTTAGCTCTGCCAAATGTACAGATTCTGGAACCTTTTTTTGTTTCGGCAAAAACAAACACAACATCGGAGTCGGTTCAACAAAGCAACTGAATTTATTTATAAGATGTAAGTATATAAACACTTAAGTTCTGCTTTTACATGATATAAATACAAGCAGAATATGATTTTATAATCAGGTAACTCAATAATATGAGGTAGCAAAACTGATCTTCTTTTCCTTTAACATAATGTATATCAAATTTATAAGACTTGACTGTTTGCAATACAGATAATGAACGGTATTTGCAATATGAATTGTAAACCGAGTAAATTTTGCAAATGTATTTCAATACCAAACGTTTGATATACATATGTAGTTAAAAGACCTAACACACATATTACTTGTCAATTTTAGCAAATAATAGCAATAAATTACACTGAAATATCTAATAAATTCTATTATTCTATTATTTAACAAAACAAAACAGAATGTCAAATTTTTAATTAATTTGATTTTACAAATTTGTAAAATATATGCTAGTTTTATGTTTGTTTGGTATAAATAAATTAAGTTGCTCATATCATGTTATCTTGATTTGATATAGGTTCACCGAGAGCCAATCCAACGGTTCCATTCACTACAAACTTAACATTAGCAAGTAATGTAACTGCCGTCCTTCATTTTCCTATCCTTGCCTACCCTAAACCAGAAAGTGTTATTTGGCAGAAATATTCAATGTCTAATTGGATAAGTGTTACATCAAACAGCAATATCAATATATCAAATAATGAGTTAAATATAAGTCTATCTATATACAAAATGATGGAGACAGACTTCGGGCGATATAGGCTTATTATTTCTAATGATGTTGGTTCATACAAACAAGACTACTACATCACCGCTGAAGGTAAGTTTTTACGCACACTTTCATTATATAATGATATATTATTCAAAATGGCATGTACACATACGTTTAAAAGTTATTCTGTAAACAAAAGTATTGTATTATTGACTGCATATTTATATATTATGATACTAAGTACAAAGTAATGTCAATGATTTTATGTATGTTCTTTATACTAATGAATTAATTAAGAGTCTCATGAAGCCTTCATGCAGTATAACTTTGCGAACCTATCATGCCTATTGACCGGTTTAATGGTGACAAATACAGTAAATTTTGACGTTAGTTATATCATTTATATTAGATTGTTATATAGCCGTACTTATAATGCTTTATTTACTATACAAATACAACTTCCATTATAATACTGCACGTTTGTAACGTCAGTTTTCATTGGATAATCGTGACGTTTATATAGTTTTATATACACAGCTGCTGTCGATTCATGAAGAAATCTTACTTTTTTTTCTCTAAAAATGATGCTTGCTGTATTATAAATTCGTTATAAAGATTGTTGACAGGTTATATGGCCGTATATAAACGGCTGTTTGCAATATAACCCTCGCCTAACGGCTCGGGTTATATTTACAAATAGCCGTTTATATAGGGCCATATAACCTGTCAACGATCTTTATAACTAATATTAGCCACTGACTTTTGTTTAATCGCATAATAGTGTTCAACAGTCGGTATTTTTTTAGTCAGACCGAATCCTCCGACGGGCTTTCGTGTTCTCAATAAATTAACAACGGCTACGACTGCAACAGTACAGTGGTTTCCTTCATTTAATGGTGGACAACCCCAACATTTTGTATTGAACTACTCCAAATCTCTACAGAAACATTGGGTACAGGACGAAATAGAAGACATAGGGGAACCAGTACTAATTTATACGATTAATGGATTGTCAAGCAATTCTGTCTACTACATCTTTTTATATTCCGTTAATATATTAGGATCATCCAAGTTATCTGCACGTCTTGAAATCAAGACCAAAGGTAATTTCATTGTTTTAAGTGTAACATATTTAAAAGTTGTTTTACTTAAAGATCCTGTATGTTTTTGATTGAGTATTTTTACTGTATGAATACCACAATAGCAAAAAATTATATATGTACATATTTATGCAAATAAAACAATTTTCAAACATCGAAGAATATGTAAAATGTGTACTGCAAATATTTGAGAACATTATATTTAATCAATAAATTACAGGCATTTATTTCTTATTGGAAAATTTGACTTAGAATTTATAGAAAATAAATTTCTAATTACCTCCCTTTATTTACATGAAATGTTAAATTTGGTAATATCTTTATAAATAATGCATATTGGAACTTACAATATTGACAAATATTAATTTGAGCATCATATTTATGAAATAAAACCATGAAAAAAATGTGTTACAGGATCTTTAAGTCATGATTTATACTCTAATTTCATACAATGTCACCTATTTTATCTGAAACAATCAACAGCAAAACTTCCAGCTTTTTAAACGTATTAGATATTAACTATTTCGTGCGTTTTCTTCAGAGGGGATGCATATAGATGGTAACACCAGTTTCGTTGGGACAACTATAGGGATTAGTATCGGTGCTGTTCTGTTGTTGCTTGTACTATTCATTGGTATATACACATTAAGAAGGTAAATTAATTTAAAAACCGTTGATCCATGTAAGGTGCCAATCAAAAATACCTTTGGTACAAACCTATTAATATTCTTGAAGTGCATTTATTTATTTGACTTTATATATACATTATTAGAACAGTACTTATATCGCAACTGTCACACAAATGTATCTATGATTGTTGAATCAAAGAATTGTCAAACAAATAAAGATTAACAAATTTATTGTTAATTTATTTTTCCTTGCATTGGATGTCTAATAATTGTGCATAAATTTCAGGTTTAAGCTGAGATATCAACACACAAGTAAAAACGTATATCAAAACACTATTGGTTTGTAATCGTTATTCAATTTTTTTATAATTGGTTACCTTAATTGATGTCATAAATGTTTCATACAAATGTACAAATATATTTTATTAAGATGCATACTTAATTATAGGTGTATGTTTTTGTCACATATAAACTGGTGTGAAATATCGTTAAATACCAATGTTAGAGGTATTGTAGCAGTTTTATGACAGTTTTGTCTAGCTTTTTTATTATGATATTTTGTTGCAGTAAATTTCTAAGCAAGCTGAAGAAATAGGACTTTTTATATATTATTAATAATTACATTCTTCAATTGGATTTATGCTTACATTGTCGTTGTTAAATAAACGAAATTCAAACGAGACAGTAATGAATTAATTTTGATACTCAATCAAACTAAAAATCAATTTTATATAATCGGAATGTATAGGACCATCAACACAAACGATCAATTCTGCAACTGAATACGAGGGCATTGATCTTAATACAGTTGGAGCATATATAGAACCGAAAGACCCAAACAACACAGGTATTTCCATTGTTTTTTGTGTGCAATTCTAATTATAAGTGTATGCTTATTGAAGATACTATTATGATATTATATTTAAATAGAATAGGTAATGTGATTTAATTAAATGTTCGTTTTACATGATTACGTTTGTAATAAAGGTATTATGTCAATCAATTTGCAACTGGACCCCATTCGGTAATTCATGAAATTATTGATAAGTTTAATGTAATCTTATGGTAGCTTTTTAAATGTAATGTTGTTAATCATACTTTTGATTTCACTTAAGACACAAGTACAGACGCTCTTCCACAAAATCCTTATGAGAAACTTGATTACATCTTAAAAGACAGTAATCAGTACAGTGAACTTAAACCAATGGATGAAAACCGTGATGATGTTTCCAGGAATAGTTTTGTTGATTCAGCTCCGGAGACCTTGCAAAAAGACTTTGATAAAGCAATATATATGAATATGAAAATATGAGGACCATAATCTTTATGAAATCAATACTGGTTAATAGTTCTTATGTTTGTAATTGCCTTTAACTTTCAGCATAAGTATTGTATATGCTGTGTAAGAACTAGATAGTGATGTCTATAAACGATGTATAAAATAACATATAATATTAACAAACACTGAAAATAATCGTATAAACGCTAAGTAAAACGTACTTTAATGTTCTTAAATTATTGAAATTTATCACATGTTTATGCAGTAAATTTTATATATTTTATGCCTTTCGATTAATTATATACCAAGTATTACCAAATGTTACTGTAAAATTGCATTTTATAACTTAGATTATATAAATGTTAGATTGTAAGAAACTTTGCATTTTCAATATCTGTAAATCATGTAAATATTTGTCAGTTTTGTTATCGTTTTTAACTTGTAGCATATAATACATTTCATGCATATCTTGAAATATCAATGTGTATATCAATGTTTATTTAATCAAAAATGTCCGCTATGTTCTTTTGTAGTATATATTTGATTATGCAAACAAATACTGAACAAATAGTATATATCAAGTGTTTATTTGTACTAAATTAAATGTAGACAAGGACAAGGTTCACTCGATTGTTTACATAAACCCTATACATTATTACAGTTAAGGAAGTATTAATAAAATATCTGAAGGGTGTACATCCCGAAAACTATTAAGGGTAGTTTACATCCTGAAGGATTTAACAAGTTTACTATACATCCTGAAGAGTGAAACAAACAATCTTTACACTGCATTATGACATTGTCTTTCAAGCAGATAATTGCTAGCTTTCGACTAAAAGAGAAGGAGATACGAAGTTTAAACACATGATTATACGTGTTGTGTGACATGCTGTCAAGTTATAAAACTGTTTGTTTGTCTTTTGTTTGGCTATGTATGCCAATGTTATTACAAATAGGCACCTGACATGAGATGTAAAAGTAAATGTAAGACCTTAAGAGTGTCGATGTGTTTTTACTTAAACAAAAATGTGTCCCTTCTGTTTATTTTTTTTTCTCAAACATATTTTAAGGAATTCCATAATGTACGTATATTGTGACATTTTATGAACTGAAAAAATGCAAGTTTAACATATATCCAGTGTTCATCCACGTCAGATAAATCCCGTTAATTTAAAATGCTTTTCCCCTTGTGGCTGAGGGATTGCCTTTAAGTGTTGCCGCCGTCCATCATGCTAGACTATGCGTGTCTTAGCTCAAGGAAATGAGGTGGTTGTGACTCCCGGTGTTGCTAAGTTTGGTAACACTTTGAGTTGAGTCAAAAATCGTATTTTCTCATTCGGCGTCATTTGACATAAAATTTGTTGATGCGCTGTCAACCCCCTCCCCCCCCCCCAAAAAAAAAAAAAAAAAAAAAAAAAACAAACAAAAAACAACAAAATAAAAAACAATTTATATGCTACTTTGAACATTGATTTTTCAATGTGGTTTTGTGTTCCAACAAACAGCAAATTCAATTGTAGTTATTACAAGACTCTGAAACAGTACTATCTTTAAATATATCGAACATTTCAAGGGAAGATCACAATTCTCCTGTCAGTTGTGTGATACTTGCACCAAGTGGTGAAAAAAGATGCAACATTGTTTGTAAAAGGTAAGTGGAAGAAACTTAGTTGTTTCCATTGGTCCTTTGAAAAATACACTAATGCAGCAAAGATACGCCATTCTAATTGCGAATTGAGAACATGACACGGCAACATAGAGTTTGAAACCATGAAACTTTTCTCCTTCAATGCTACATGATGTTAATTGTCGTATTTGAAACACATAATGAAGTATTTAATCGATGTCTGTTTTGTATACCGCTAATATTTTATAACAGCTATTTCAATTATTGTTAAATCACTATTAAAAGAACATGAACAGCTGAGAAACACCAAGACATTTGAGGGACTAAGTAAAGGTGACAGAAAAGTATGCATGACAGTTTTCAATATACGAACGAAAAGGGACAAATTATTCGGTTTTTTTTAAATTTGTTAAACACTAACTAGTTGCATACCGTGCATGGACAAAATAATTAACAACCTGAATGTATAAATATTAAATAATTGATGAAATGTTCTATAGCTCATTCATACTAACAAAAATTGAAACAACGTAAATAACACGTTTCACAAGTTTCAGGTAAACAGTCAACAATAATTATTGCGTTAACTAACGCCATTGGTTCTACTCAGGTGCCTTTTCCTGACTGAAATAATGCACCGAAGAGCATATGAGGTCTTCCTCCACCAATAAAGCTGGAACGTCGCCATATCACCTATACTGTGTCTGTGTGAACTTTTGCCCCCCCCCCCCCCCCCCAAAAAAAAAATGTTTAAATATACAATCTTACAAATAAAGTTTCCTGTTTAAGGCCCGTCTACACCTATCCAAGTCTTGAATGCAAGTATCATATTCTCTTGTATTGGGATAGTGTAGACACCCTACTGAATGAGTTTTAAAGAGAAATTATGTGACATCAAGAAAGATAATTCCTTGCCAAGAAAGTTTAGAACACGTTCTATTTTTCTACAAGTTTTTGGCTGTCAAGACACTGATAAACACCGGTTTGACACAAAACATGTGCCCCGAAGGTGTGATAGTGTTGTTTTTTATTATTTTCTGACTTTTTTGTTACTGATTCAGTGTTCATGACCTGTACATTTTAGTAAATGTATACAATATCTTGGTCAGAGGAACAGATCAATACACTGATACACAGAAGAGCAAAAAAATATGTTTTTCAAGTAGTCAAAATTGATTTTAAATGATCTTGTTCATTTAGTGAATAACTTTCATCAAATAAAGAATTTGCATCAATTTATCAGCTCAAAAAAATATTTTTCTCACATTTTCCATTATTTTAAAAGAATATGTACATGTTTCAATTTTATTTACTGCATTGTTTTTAGCTAATTGCATCATTTTCCTGCTTTTTTTCCACATATTTTACAGAAACATGATAGTATTGCAAAGACAAATGTATAAATCCTGGGAAATCTTAACTGGGCATTTCAGTAAAAATTGTGCCTGATTAAATATTGAAAGGGCCATTTATTTAGCTTATCTAAATGTGACATGTAAGAAACTTGAATAGATGTAGACGCGGCCTTATAATAAATATTGCTTATCTTATGTTTTATCTATTATTTATCTTTATTAATTATTTTAGAAAATATAATATTTTAGTGCAATTGTCCAAATCCAAGAAATATTTAAAACGCAAAAAAGGTTTCGTCATCCATATGTTCCATTACATATGTTCAGCTCATTTATATCCCCCGAGATTCAGAGAAATGTTGTCTATACAATTCGTTCGTATTCTTCATATTTAACAGAATTAACCCACGATTAAATGAATTAACTCGTGCACTAGTATATGTCATTAAGGAAAACAATTGCAATGTAAAAGGTTATAAAAATAAAAATCTAAGATCGCAACAACAAAAAAATTACATTTGGAAAGGTAATATTATTTTTATCATGTCAGAGAAATGAAATTGAATTCAATTGCATTATCATTTTGTAATTGGCAAGTCATATATTACATTTTTCAAGAGTACAATGTTATATTTTTACACCATATGGCGTTAACGATATGCGGTATGAATGCAACTCTGCACGCAAATTCATTGTTGTCACATATAACCTATTTAAGCTAGCGCATCATTATTAGCATAATATTATCATTTTTTTTATTGCATGTTGTTATCACTAGTTACACGTTATACACATAATTAAACTGAATCTATCTGGGTTGGAAATATCAATGGAATATATGTTCATGACAAAAGTGCATTTAATGCATACTTTAATTCTCATATAAACCTGAATAACCGAGCCAGTATCAATAAGTATATTATGTTTTTCGAATTTCAAATTGACAAAAATACCTGATATGCTTTCTAAATACTTTAAACATTACTGTGGAAATCAAAATATTAAAATGAAAATACCATTTGAAAGTTAAATAATTGTATATATCAGTAACAGCTCCCATCACAGACGATGTCTGTGTTAATGTATATTAATATCATCTTCCACAGTGCTTAGTATCATTTTAGATTCATGACAGAACTCAATAGGTAATTTACAATATAAATCCTAGATAACCCTAGCAAGCTTGTGATGCGTAATCATGAAATGACATATTCAGAATTACAGTCTCAGATCCAAATATTTTATAAACATTAAATGCATGTGCTATACTAAAATTATCTTTAATGCGACAAATAATAGGTGGTGTAAAACATTAACAAGTACTTCGGTAGTTAGAGTGTCGTTAAAAATCAATCTCTTTTTGTTTTATTTTAGATATTAAAAATTGAGAAAACCAATAGAAGATTTTGTATTTGACTGAGATGACCTACATGTTATTTTTCAGTTTATTTTATGTAATGTAAGATATAATTTACACAAAATGTTTAAACCAGGAAGTTATGCAAACCTATGCACAATATATAAATGCGGGTTACCTATGCCCAATTTAAATACAAGGTTGCAAATAATATGAAATACTACAATACGTTTTTTAGGTAAGTAGAGCTCATTTTTAATTACATATACATATTAAATAGTATGAAGTTATTAATCACTGTTCAGTACATCACTCATCCTATGCGACGAGCACACATATTTTTAAAGGTACGTTAAACGTGGCGCTAGCCGAATCTAAACTTTTATTAATTTATTAGAAAAGACTTTAATTACTGACCGCGACCAACAATATATATATATAAACCCAAACAAATATTGATGAATTGGATCAAATAATGATTTACACGGAAGTTTATTTTCTATAATCGATTTCCATTTAATTAAAATCATTACGTCACAGTTGAAGCACTATCTACATCCGGTCCACAGCCCTTACTTATCTGGCTTCTAACACATTTACTCTTAAGTCACCGAAGATTTCCAAACAGTGACGTACCCGTCTTTTCTAATACGTACAGAGAAGAATTGACCAAGAGTTATATCGATTCACATAACCCCATTTGGCACTGAACATCAAAGGGAAACTGATATAGACTCGAAACAGATGCCCTTGCAATAGTTTCCGCAGCTCTTATATCTAAGCTACCCAGTTATTTATTTTATGTCTCGTTAAGCTTGACCCGTAGCAGGATATATAATTTCTATACATGGGCAAACTGTTATATCCAACTAAATATTGGTTTAAACATATTAATTCAACACAACATATAATAAGTGAACTCTTTTATGTGGCAGCTATGCTAAATGTAAAAGGTACATTTTACAAATTTTTAAAGAGGATAATTATCGTTTAGCATTGATTTTGTGCATGCATCATTTGCTTTTAACAAAAACATACACATATATTTCTTTCAAACAGGTATTGTAAAGATTTTTGTTAAAATTGTATATAGCTTTACCTTGTGCACTTATCTTACCATAAATTGTTATTTCAGGTAAATGTCAGGAACACAGCGATGACGTATAGATTGACAATTTTTGTAATTTGTGTTTTAAAAAGTAAGCATACCATTTTCTTAGTTAAAATAACAGTGCGACTTTTGTTTGTTTGTTTGTTTTGGTTTTACGTCACGCCGACACAGTATAAGTCATTTGGCGACGTCCCAGCTTTACTTGTGGAGGGAGACCTCAGGTGCCCTTCCGTGCATTTTTTTTCAGGCACGATCAGGCACCTGAGTAGAACCACCGACGTTCTGTAAGCTAGCTGGATAGCTTCCCAAAATGAAAAAATCCGAAGTCCCTGTCAGCATTTGAACCCACAGCCGTAAGTGCGTTTTATAATGTCACAAATAACATATGGGTGTTTAAATCACCTCTATCATTGCGCATAAGCCTGGCATTGTCTTTGCACCATGACTTCGAAGATGTTAAGTAATGAAAAAATGCATCGTATCTTTAATGTTACAAAGTAAAATGTGTCACAGGATAAATATCTTACAGATTTTCATAAAGGGTGT